GATTTGTTTTGATAGGAAATCAGATTATTCTGACCAAAACCCACGAAAAAAAAGGCTGATTTTGGATGCTCATGAGCATTTGGTTAAAATGTGCTGCTAAAAAATGTAGTTCAGCGCAATAGAATCATTTTGTAAAGCTTTGAAAAATCTATCGAATTATGCATAAATCAAAATGAATCGTTACTTTCACAGCTTAATAAGAGGAGAGTTTTGTTATGGATGATCTCGGATTGTACATACAATTGAACGGCATTATCTAAAGGCAAAAAATAATATTTGTTTTAACTCTTATATGTCATTCGATAGAACTTTCAATTGGTCTATAACTCAACTAAAAGAAGCTGAATAAGGAAGGAAAACTTTTCATCCAAACATTGCACTTTATAACGCTGTAAGAAATCAATAATATCAAGTATTGCTTCAGCCACAGGTAACCAGAATGAAGTCTAGCTGTCTAATTCAAACATATAATTGACTTCTAAAATTCGAATTTACGAGTGGATAAATAATAAATTCAATTTTAAGAGAGAACTCAATTTCATCACTTGACGACTCTCCTTTTTTATGTTATACATTACTGATGAAGATTTTTTTTTTAATCTCGAATAAGGTCAACTAGATATATTTGTGGGATTAAACTAGCAAAAACATTCAACTTTATATTCACACGTATGTTTTTCACTAATTTTGATTTTCATGTTTTTGCAAATACTTCAATTTTGTTAATAAATCAAATTAATAGAATAATTCTAAAAATTCTACTTAACTTTTGAAGTCCAGAAGATGTATAGAAAAACATATGCACAGTTTAGAGCTCATCAAATCTACCTTGCGAAGGAACATATCTAACTACTAGATACTATTCAGCTTCATATTATAGCTATGAGTAGATTTTCGTGAGACTAAGAAAAGTTGCAAAAATGTTCGAGTACATGGTCCTATGATGAGCAATTATGTTTGTTTTCTCTTATCAAATAATCCAGCAGTATTGTTTCAAAAATTATCCGTTTTATTTTCTTCTGTTCACCCTGCACGGTTTTACTTCTTTAATCGAAGTATATTTCATTTTTTGTTCAAATCTCAATGAAAATTGTGTTACTTGATGGGTAATTGACTCTTTTGTTCGGGCTATCTATACAAATATGGCATATTTATCTTTGAGAAACTTAACAAATATAAACGATGATTACATTATATTTCTTCCTAGATGTTTCTAAAAACTTAACTGCAAAAAGGCAAATGAATGTTTTTTAAAGCCATTATTTTGAAATACATCAAGATTGATATTATTAATAAAATCTTTGTTGGAAATATTTCAAATAAAACTTACCGAAAATTCTTTTCACCAAAAAGATATTTCGTAGTTTGAAGAGTTAAAATAATCTAAAATAACAAAAAAAAAAAGAAAAGTATGTTCTTTTTTAATTTTATTCGAAGAAGTAAATCTTAAGTTGTAACATTATTATCTTGATTTAGATCATCATTTAATTTAACTTTTTTGTTCTTTTTCTTTTTTTTCTTTTGACGTTTTTTTTTAATAATTTCATTTTGTTTTTCATCATCAGTTGTTGATGAAACTTCACCACTTTCTTTTGAACTTTTTTCCGATAATGAATTATCATCAACATCTGGAAACTTAAATTCATCATTTTTTTCTAAAGAAATATTTTCATTTAATTTATCTTTATTTGTCGAATTTTGATTTGTATCTGATAATAATGGAATAAAATCTTTACAACGTGATATTAAATCACTACTATCAACACGAATTGTTGAGGGTGTTGAACGTTCAATTATTTTTTCTGTTGTTAAATTTTCATCATCATTGTGTTCTTCGTCAAAATAAATATGTTTACCAACATACGAAGAAATTTTTGGATTTATTGGTTCATCCGTTGATGATGAAGGCGAGTCATCACTCATCGGAAAAGATTTCTTGATCTATTAAAATGAAGAATTTTTCATAATATAAAGAAACAAAGTTATATTTTTAATGACTAACTAAATGAACCAATCTAATTGTAGATAAAGAACAAAATGCATTAATGCATTATCAATGACGATTTGTCGCTTCCGAAAGAACCTCTTCAGCTGCTCCTTTTCGATTTCAATAATTTTTTGGCTAGAAACACAATGTAGTATTCTAATTAAAACCCTTCAAAGATTTGGACTCCTATTGAAACTTGACTAAACTATAGAATTTTTAATATGTCTATTTTCTAGAGGTCGGAGGTTTTCGAAAAGCGCCAAATTTTTGAATTTCGATCTGAAACTTAGCGCATATGGAGAATTCAACTAGATTAGCTTTCATAAAAAAATGTACAAGTTTTGAACAAAGTCTCTAAGAGATATGAAACCTTCAAGATATAGAGCCTGTCTCATAGATTTTGGGTATACAATAAATATTTTTATAGGCTTCATGTCTTGAAGAAGCGTTTGTAGAAACTTCTGAATTTTTTTATGAAGACAAGCCTAGTTGAATTCTTCATATGCACAAAGTTTTAGATCAAAATTTGATACCATAGGTAAATGTCAATAGGAATCCAGATCCTTTTAGGCTTTTCATTAGAACACTATGCAGTATCTGTACGTAAAAAACGATTGGAATCGGAACGAGGGGAACAATACGGAAATATTCTCAAGAAGTATTCATCCACCAATAGTGTAAAAGGTGGTACAGAAGTTATGACTCGTTTTGTATAATGAATATTTCTATACTAGAAATGAATTCGATCCATGTGTTTTTGGACCTGAATTGAATCGATCTACGTTTATAAAAAGTTCGAACTGAACCAATTTCGATTTGATATGAGTTTAGATGGATGTATATGTATAGGTGCGATAGATGAGAAGATCCTCCTTATCATCAGCATCCACATCCGACTATCTGCAATACATATTTCATTGAATTTTATCGAATCATCGATGCACAGAAAAATCATATGAATTGTTGTAAGACACAAAAATCAATGAAACTTTCATTGATTCATCTAGAGTTTTGGGATTTTCTTTCATAGTTGATCAGTATTACTTGAAATTTTTCAAAATAAACATTGTCATGCAAAAGAAATAGTTTATTGATGAACATTGAACGATTGCCAAGTATTCACAGAATTCGATTCTCAAGCAAATGTATGTATATTTCTTAGTAAAGAAAAATCAGAGTTACCACGTAATTGTCATATTTTAATATATTTGACATATAATTTCACGAATGATCTTGACTATTCTTTAGAACAAACATATGAAAATAATCTCATATGATTATATATCACCAGTAAAACGTTTTTGAACATTTCACAGATCTTCTAGCATATGAAATATCATATTTATTTTAATCTGATATATTTTTCGCATAGTAGCTAGTATAGATCTGACATCGATGTATTCGAATATATTGATGAAGAATTTTATTATTCATGTCAGTAATTTGAATTTGCATATACCATTGTTTAATGCAGATAGATTTATTTTATTGTTCTGTGGAATTTGAGATCTATTTGAAAGAGTTTTATTAGTAATATGTCTTGATATGAGATCATTTTTCTATCTATGATCCAAAGAATAATATTGAGTATCGATCAAATACTTCTGTCACTATCAAAATGTTGTAACATGAAAATGAAGCGCCAACTATGGTCTTTCTTTACTAAGAAATATGCATACATTTTTTCCTGATACAATTTTTTAATCCTGAAAATTTCTTCTATAAACCACTGACGTCCGTTTACTAGAAAAGTCAATCTTATTCAAAAATTATAAGAAAACATTTACTAATCATATATAATTAGAAAAGTAACTGGTTTCACTATAATTGTTATTACTGATTTTCATGTCATTATATTAAAGTTTTTAATTTCGTTTTCATTATAAAAGAATATTATTCAAGTTCTTCAGATAATTATTCTATTTAAAAATAATGAACATTTGATGGAGTAATGACAACATTAGTTTGATTGTTGATAGACGAAATACGACAATTGACAGTAACAGAACGTAATGCTGAATGAAAGATAACAACAGGAATTATTTCAGAAGATACGTTCTGAACAGTAATCACTCCTTGATTTTTTTCAATATCAGTAACTATGGATATAAATCGTTGTTGACTAACAGCTGGCAATGTATTCCATACGCCAAGAAAAGCATATTGTGTTCTAAGTGGATCATTTAATGAGATTAGAGATGATATGTACCAAATGATATATTAATAAATGATTGCATTTAGTAGCTGAAACATGGAGAGAAAAACTTTCATTAAAAGTTGGTACTATGCTTGAATTATCGTACGACCAAATAAGAAAGAAAAAACGAGAAAGTTACATTGTTGATTGTGTTGAATAAAGTTCTCCTTGTGAAATACTCTCATGAGACGCCCAATCAGATATTAAGATGTTTATCATCATCAATGGTCGATCTAATTTCAAAATTAAATCATCTTGACGACAACATTACACGATATGTTCAACATTTGTATAATTAATGGCATCACCTGCACTTATAGGACCTGTTGATAGAGTTGCAATCACTATTTCATGAGATGATTGTTTATAGGATGCATCCGGTTTTAATGAACTAGACCAGAAGACATCTTTAAATGAAGCTAAGCTAATTGTATCAACGAACATACTACTCAAGATGAAAAGAATAATCAGATGATGTTCATGCATGTGTAACATGTGGAATTTGTAAAGCTTATTAAATATGACGTGGTAAACTCATACAATATTGTATATTCATTTCTATTCTTTCACCTACTTGTCCTATTGACATTAATCATTGATGGCCAATATGAATATCAGTACGTGTAGATAAAAAAATCCATTGTTTGTTGATCAAGTCAATCTTATTCATAAAGAACAAGGCAGCAATTATGTGCTTGCGTAAATAAATCAACTCAAAATGAATAATTTTCAATCGGTAATGCTTTTTGCATTTTTTTTTTTATCAAGAGCAAAAGAATAATTTCGTTTATAAACAGTATCACATACTCAATAACGATTATGTTCTGTTAAAGAAATATTTTCTAATCGATGATGAACGGCTTGAAGGCCATCAGAAAATATATCTGGACGAGCTGTTCTTTTAGAGACATCATCTTGTTTCTTCATAATTTATTCCTTTTTCTGTATTATTATTATTATAACCAAGATAATTAATAGTAAGATCATTGAGACGATGTTGTTTCGTTCGATTATATTCTTGTTGCATTATTTGACTCCATTCTCTTATTTGTTTATTGATACATTTTGATGAATAGAAAACAATCATTGAATTATTATAATTCGCTGATATTATTAACATTGAGCCCATAACACCATATTCTAATACATTTATTGTTTGACTTGATGAAATTGCCATAAATTGAGAAAAATATGAAAGAACTAATAAATACTTAGGGCAATCCAAAAGTAGTGGCAGTAGTACTTTTATTTCTTATAAAAAGCTTTAAGAGACTTTCTTTGTATATAGTCTGACAGAGAAAAGAATGCTCTATTTTTCTATGCTATTTGATCATACTTCAACTAATATAATAATAATAAAGTTTCGATAAGATCTGTTTTGTTTGAATGTGTCGTGGTTACATGAGTTGCTAGTGAATGTTTTTTGAA